ACCAGGCCGTTTCCACCTTGGAGGCGCCGAGCATGGACTGACGCTTCTGAAACTGTGAGCCCACACAAGCCTCTCCTCCTCGGAGTCGTGCGGGATGGGTATTTCCTCCCAGGGATGAGACGGTGTCTTATCCAGAGAGCGAGATTGCTGGTGTCTCTTCTCCTGAGGGTCCTAATCCCATTATGATGGCCTGTCCTCATGGCTGTCTAGCCCTAATTACCCCAGCCCCCAGAGATCCCACTTTTTAAAATAACTACATTGTAGGTTATGGCTTCAACAAACAAATTCTGGAAAGATGTAGCATTCAGGTGATAACACCACCATACCCTGTGAGCTACACACAAATTTGCTCATCCACCTGTGGTCTCCCCATTTGGCCTTATGGGTCTCTCAGAGGCCTGCGTCCTCTTTCATGAGCCATTCAATTGCACCCTACAGCAGCAATCAAATAAAACGATACCTGCCTGGCTCTTCCACTGCTCACATCCAGATAAATCAGAACACACTGCAATCTCCTCTCAGAAAAAAAGAGATCCTAAATTTCCTGACCTAAAAATTCCTATAAATTATTAAGAAATTGTTGTACCCACGTCTGGTAGTGTTTAAATCGGACTGGCTTTGCTAAGTGGGCTGAGCAGCCAGGCTTAACGGGGCCCAGCACGTGGGCCGGGTCTTGCACCAACATGGCTGTGCACATCTGGAGGGGACTTTCTGTGCCCCGGCATTATGCCTCGTCTTTATATTTTTCTCATTTTGTAATTGTCATAAAGCACAAGCTTCCAGGATGCAGTTTAGTTAGGAGAGGCGGAGCCTGTGACTAGCAGCTCAGAGCCGGGAGGACACCTGTTCCCCATGGCAGGGACTGGGGGGCTGTCCTTACATTGCCCTCCTTTCCCTAAGGCTGGTGGGACACTGGAAGGGATCAGGAGGAGCACCTGCTGCTAACAGCGCCACCTGTAGGAAGGAGCTGCTTGCCCTGGGAAGCATCAGCCCGGGGATCACTGAGGTGATAGGCTCACACGCATCTACCACAGATGATGATCTCCTACGGATCAGAGTACCCAGTGGTGCTGATTACAGCCCAGCTGGGTGAGAGGCATTTCAGCACCACTGCAAGGAGGGTGAGAGATGCTGGCCGGCCAACCCTGCTTTCATTCAAAGCCCCCTCCCAAATATGCCTCAAACCATTTATTAGACCCAGGAGGAGCTTTATTTTTCAAACCCTTCACCAAATCCACCTGCATTTGTTCCAGGAACAGATTTAGACTGCACTGAAATATTTAAATTACAGACACATTCGTGGGTTTCTTGCAATAGTGCCTTTATTGGTAGGTAGGCTCCAAGAGAGCAGAAAGAAAGAATATGAGGGAATAAATCCAAGAAGTATGAATATTTTATAAATGAGATGTAAAAATTATGTGTGTACAAAATCGCTGAGAGGCAGGGGGCAGCGAGCGCAGGATGTGGGGATGGGGTCTCCCTGCGGTAACCTCGGCTCACACCCTTGAAGGTGCAACTGGAGCAACAACCCATCCACAGACGGTTCTCTGTGGACAGGGGCTTGTGACGACTGGGCGAGCTGGTCCTTTTCTGTGCCCATGGGAGGTTCCCGGTGGGTGCTGGTTGGAAAGTTGGGGCCGCGGCCCCCGTGCTTAGTCCTTCTTCCAGCCCCAGGGAGAAGGGAAGCCTGAGGCACGTATCACACAGGAATGCAGGGAAATCAGGGGCCCATTACCATTCTTTAAATGTAAAAAAAAAAATTATTCATAATCTGTTTTTAGGATTAACTTCCAGCGACTTGTTTAAAACATACAGCATTGTATAAAGAATTTTAAAACAAAAGTCAAGAAGAGCAAATTAATTTGCATAAATGGAGATGAAAGGAATGGTAGAGACAAAAATTAATATTTAATTTTTAATCTCTAGGAATCTATATAGCAAGAAGAGAAAGTTGGCAATTTACCACATATTCATTAATAGGAAAGGGAACCTTCCAAATTTCTCTCAGGAGTGGGAAATTGTCCTTAACACTAAATTTGAAAATAAAATTTAAGCTGAGATTTTATGCCGGAGTCACAGAGCAATAAAACTGTTTGATGTTCTGAACAGCGGAATGCAAAATTGTAAAAGAGAATTACCTCTGAGTTTTCCTCAAGGTAATTTTTCTTAAATCCAGCCCATATCGTACACAGTAATTCGGAGGAGATGTAAAAACCTGACAGAACACTAGTGCAGGATGAAACCCTGTACACATTTCTTCCCTCAGCAAAGATTACTCAGCATTCCGAGTTTGGGCTTCTGTGGTCCTGCCCTGCACGGAGAGGAGGGGGACCGGATCTTCCTCGGGACCGTGTGGGGCTGACGCTGGCACAGGAAGCACTGTGCAGAAGAAGGCAGGCAGCCCCTTAAAGTGACTACATTCTCGGCTTGTAATCTCAGAATTAAAATAGCCCCTTGGCGAAGAGGTCAGGAAAACACTTATCATGGAATTTTTGCTTGAGGAGTTTTAAATGTAGATATTCTGAGAGAAGAAAGGAAAGAAACAAAGAAGCAGAGAGAGAAAGAAAAGAAGGAAATAAGGAAGGAAAGAAAGGAAAAAAGGAAGGAAGAAAGGAAGGAAGGAAGGAAGAAAGGAAGGAAGGAAGGAAGGAAGGAAGGAAGGAAGGAAGGAAGGAAGGAAGAGAGAATACCAGGGATTCCACTGGAGCCGGAGTGCAGGAAAGCCGGCTGTGCACCCCTCTCCCCCGTGCACCCGCCCACCTCTCACGCAGGCGCAGGCCCACCCGATTCTGACTTGGATGTTTTGTCCAGCATTATGTAAGCATCAGGACATTTACTGCATAGTTCTCTTGGACAAGGTGAACGGTTTTCCAGCCGGAGTCCTCCCATATTAACCTGCACTGAAGGGCTTTGTTTAACCCTGCGGAGGCAGGCATTGCCCCAGAGATGCGCAGGGCTCCTGGTGCACGCAGTGGAGTTGCCCACGTGACTCTCAGCCACTCTGACCTCCAGAGAGGACTCTGGAGGAAAATGATTATCTGTTCAAACAGCTTGAGCCAGAAAGTTCCTTTGTGGGTCAGTTTCCTGGAAGTTTACAAGTGGAAAATTATTCACCAGATCTCATGTGAGACCACATTCCATGTTACAACAACCCCTATTTCTTATTTGTTTACAGAGTTGCTTTGGGTGTGTAAAGCAGAGTATGAAACCCAAACACTCAACTGGCAACACCTTAGTCTTAGTTGTACAACTATAGACGTAATCAGTATACTTTCAATTGTTCCTTCCTAATAATAGAAAATAGATTCTAAGAGAAAAACTATTTTTAAACTGTGGTATAAAGTAGAAGACAGAGAAAGAGAATAGGAAGAGGAGGAAGAAGAGGAGGAAAAGAAAGAGGAGGATGAGGAGAGAGAGGAAGAGGAGGAGGTGGAGAAGGAAGAGGAGGAGGAGGAGGAGGAGGAGGAGGAGGAGGAGGAGGAGGAAACTGTTCCCTGTGGTGGGAGTAAGGTCTGCAGTTTCAGAGGCAGCCAGGACCAGCGTGCAGCTCGGCCTCCTCAGCGGCTCAGTCTCCGTGGCGTGAAAGTAATTCCATTTCTTGTGAGTCCATGTGTCTGGGAGATCGTCTGCCTGGACCACGTCTGTGTATGGCTTCATCTCATTTCCATACTTTGACAGGCTCTGTGTTCTGCCCTTGCCCTCATAAATATCCAATCCATAAACCCAAGCGAGTAAACTGCGACATTATGGTAAAAGCCACCACAAGCACGAGCGTTCCGGAGAAACATCAACCAAGCAGGAAGGAGAGAGGGGAGCCCCCAAGCATATCTGTCCCACCGGTCCTTGAAATGCTGAGGTGATCCTCTCTGGCAAGAGGAAGAGCAGGCACCGCTGTGTTCCTGAAGGGCAGGAAGACGTGCCCACCCCTGGGCTGGCAGCAGCAGGCTCCTGAGGCCGGTGCTGAGGCAGGCACTGGCCCTGCTGCCAGGCGCACCTTCAGAGCTCTCATTGAAGAGGGGCATCGCTGCACTGCACACTGACCGGAGTGGACGCCCAGCCTGCAACCCTGCTCTTCCTTGGGGTCCACATTCTCCCCACAATGTGTTTTTACAGGGACGAGACTCCAAGCCTGGATGCGCAGTCCAGGTGGACAGACCATGGATTTGAATGTGACTTTCTAACACCTGTGTAGAATAGAACACACACACACACACACACACACAGATGCACACACACAGACAAAGATACTTCTAAGTAAGTGATTCAAGGGTTCACGAAAGCCACACATAATGGACAGCATGCATATGCACACATATGAGGTATGATCAAAGACTAAGTAAATGTTTAAATTTTACAAAACTATTGCAGTATGACCCGTTGCCTCTAATCTCCTTCAGAATGCCCACCTCCCTTCTAATACATTTGTGCCGTCTCTTCTGCCAATTTCTGAGACTATTCTGGAAGTTTTCTTCGATGGGTGTCTTTCACTGTCCTCTTCTGGCTGCCCAAATGTACTGAACTGATTAAAAACTTTACCTTTCATGGGTGTTTAGGCTTGGTGAAGGAGGAGGAATTTGCACGGTGGCTGATTTGGGCACAAAGGGCACCAGGACGCACTGCAGTGTGCTCACAAGTCTGCCTTGCAGCAGCAAATCACCACAGTTTTTGTCACACCTCCCAAAGCACTCAGGCAAGAGGACTTCCAGAACTGTTTCAGAAAGTGGCAAGAATGGCAGCATAAAGTATTTTGAGAAGCAGGAATGTCTATGTGTCTTTCACTGTAATAATTTTTCAAAATTTAAACATTCACTAAACATTTTAGTAACCCTATGCATAATTTCACTTCATAATATATAGTCAAATGTATAATGTGTAATGACTTTACGCATTTCAATGGACACAAAATGTTAGGTGCAACATTTACCCAATGAGATATTTTAAATGAGATATGGAAGCCACAAAAAGATACAATGAAATGCTGACAGTTTCCTATTCTGGAAGTTCTTTTTATTTACAGAGTGATTTTGCAAGGATCTGGAAATTGTGTATCATCCTCTTTCTCTAGCACTTCGTCCTGAAAACTGTCCCAATGAATTAGTCTGAGTCACTTAACAATGCTGTATGAAAAAAGATGCTAATTACAATATCATAAAAAATGGCAAAATATGAAATGTGATGTGAAGTTCGGAATTTGTAATTTGTGGAGTCCAGGGATCTGGCTGTCTCATACATGCCATCTTCTCGGGGAGATGCCTGCTGCCAAGGTGTGTGCACACCCCCCAGCCAGAAAGGCGCTGCCTCAGTCTCTGGAAGGCGGCAGACATGGGGAGGCTCTGGCGCTCTGGTGCGGGGTTCAGTGGTTTGCTCTGGAGCACTGGGATGCAAGTCTGGTGGGGGTGGGGGGTAAGCCACAGGTGCTGTGCACTCAGCATGAGACTCGTGCGGTAGACTTCAGCCTTTTCTGACCCGCTATCCTTCATGTTGTAGGGTGCTTGTAAGAGGCGTTACCTCAGGGCTCTCGGGGAAATTCCACCAAGTGGTGGAAATAAAGTCCTGGGACGGTACCTGCGCACAGAATGTGCAGCCTCACTGAACTCGGGGGTCAGGGTAGGGGCTGGGACTAGCGCTGTGGGAGTGTCACTTGTGCACATCCCGCGTGCCGATCTGCTTCTTACCTGCAGAGACGGCTCTCTGATCCGATCGACAGGAGCTTGTGATGTGTGACGTCAGGCTTCTGAGTGTGTCTAACGACTATTCCTTAGCTGTCTGAGCCAGCCACTCTGCCGGGCCTGGGAGAAGCGGAATTCACAACCAAGCAGACACAGCTTTGGAGGTGTTCAGGCTGTCGGAGCAGGCTCAGCCTGAGCACTGCCCTACCGTACAGCCCAGAGCTTCTGTGTCAGAACCTGAGAGGCACGGACAGTGGGGAGAAAACAAACGTGGGTTTGTTCTGCCAAGTTTAAGTAATCTGAATCTTTTTTTAGAATTCATATTTAAAGTCTTAAAACTATAAAGTGGTTACAAATAAAAATAAATTATGGCTTACTTACATTCATCATTGCTACAAAGTTTCTATTCTTTAGTTAACAGGTTTCATTCACCAAGTTTTTACCAGTTTCAGACAAAGCAAGGAGCGTGCAAGGCACAGAGTGCTGTCAAGGCATACTGCATAAGTCTCCCCTGTTCTTCTTCAAGTATTGCCAATTTTCACCACTCATGGAGAAAAAATAGATTTTGTGAAGTGGGCACAATTACTCACTTGAAACTAGTGGAAGCATCATATTGTTTTATTGAAATAATATGGAATAATTGTACTGATATAATAAAATTGTAAAAAAATTATATACACTCAGTATGTTTTTGAATAAAAATATACAAACATTTTTGAAAATGAGTGACTGGTGGTGCTGTTGACTTCTTGGCCATGGTTTCTCTTTTCCTCTCTTTCTTTTTTTTTAAAGTTTGCGTGTAATGCAGTTAGTGACAACCCTGGCCTTTAAGTCAATCATCTCCCACACATTTCCAGACCCAGGATGGTCAGCGCTGCTGTGAATGTGGGGTTTGTTTACAGCCCCTTTCCCAAGCCCTCCGAGGTGCATGGCCTCCTCTGATGGAGGGCCACCTCTCCCTGGGGCTGGCAGAAGCAGGCCCAGCACCACGTGTCTCTGTCCATGACACGGTTTTTGTTAATATGCTTTATAATCGAGTTTTATAGGGATTGTGAGTCAATCTCAATGAACAGCTGAAAAAGTAATCTCCAATTTAGGCTTTATCTCAGACACAAAAGGCACGTTACTATTTCACACCTGATACCCACTGGTAACCAAACCGCCTGAAAATTATCTGTGTGACATGGGGGAAAATAAAATTCCAACGGCCACATTCTTCATGCAGCTGTTTGTAATGTGAAATACTGATCAGTAGCAAAGCACGGAGTGCCAAGTATTGGGTTTCCTGTTACAGAATCAGTGGAAAAGGAGGGTTGATTGGGGAGGGCTCCGGAGAGGGCTTGCAGGAGGCAGAGTGGCTGGGGGAGCTCGCTGTGTGGGAGCCTTGTGATAGGCTGAGGGCTCCCACCCTTGGGAGAAAGGAAAGCAAAGAACAGGGTTTGGTGGGCACGGGGAGCTTCTCAGAAATGTTAATGGTTATTGATTTGAGGGGTGCTTTCTGTCCCCCACAACCCCAGAATCCATTCCCGTCATCCTCTGCAAAGCACTGATACGTCCAGCACAGAACATGCACAGGTTGGGCCAGTGCTTCTGTTGGGATCCTCAGGGCTGGAGAGAGCAGTGGTCCCTCGGGCAGGGGCCGGCACACAGCCGAGCTTTCTGTGGACGCGAGCTTCGCCTCAGGAGAGGGCGGCAGCTGTGAAGGGAAAAGCACGGTGGCCTCGGGGTGGGCTGCTAACAAAGAGAGGCGGGGCTTTCCACCAAGCTGAGGGCGGAGCCTGGGACTTCTCACTGTCCTGGACACGGTTTCGGAGGGTGCTGTCCTTGCGCACACATCCTGTCCACAAGCAGGGCCTGCCCGCTCACCCGGGCCTGTGGCAGTCCCTGCGCTGGGACCCCGTCCCACACACACGTCCTGAGCTCCTGATAGCAACTGCAAAGAGGGACACACGGGTGGCGTGGGAGGACACACACCCAGGGCTTCATGGGCAACAGGCTAAGGCCAGTGTTAGTTTACCTGGCTGCTGTTATAGTTTGTTCCCTCGCCCAGGCTATCTTTGGGAAGTCACGTGAAAGGGTTCTGGCTTGGATGACAAACCTGGCTTATGAGGTGAGATGATGGAAAGAGTGACACGGTAGGGAGGAAGCCTCACCACGCGCCCCTCGGTCAGGCCTTGAGCGCATTCCCACAGCCAAAGCTGCCCCTGTGCCTCTGTGGTCCCTGACCCTCTCAGTTACTACACCTCATCTGTACCAGCACTCTGGGAGGCGGGCACCGCTGTGAACGCGAACGTGCTGGAGGATGGTGGCTCAGATGCCGGGTTGCTGGAGGATGGTGGCTAAGACGCCAGGTTGCTGGAGGATGGTGGCTAAGATGCCGGGTTGCTGGAGGATGGTGGCTAAGATGCCGGGTTGCTGGAGGATGGTGGCTAAGACGCCGGGTTGCTGGAGGATGGTGGCTAAGATGCCGGGTTGCTGGAGGATGGTGGCGAAGATGCCGGGTTGCTGGCTGGTGGACGGTCAGGCTACTCTGAAAGCGGGGTTCTTCTGCTGTTCCACAAAACTGCTGGACACGCCGAAGCGTGACTCCTCCCTGGGAACAAGGTCATCCTCACTTTGGAAACAAGAAATTACTAACACAAATTTCCTGGGCATTTGTTATTTTCAATTTGGTTCTTGTCTATTAGTACAATTTGTTGGTATCCGTCAATGTGTTACTCCCAGTAATTAAGTCACAGGAATGGCAGTTCTTTCACAGATTCACATTCTGTCAGGAGATGGTTAGACAGTACAAATATCACACGGATGGCAGAGTCCTATGCAGAGTAACTTTCAAATCATTAGAACTGTTTTCCCGACTTTTAGATAAGAACTTCAGTGAAAATTAGTATATTGGTAAAATAAGACTTAAAATAGCTTAAAGTATACGTTTCATTTTAAACATTTCTGAGAAGTGACCCTTTAACTTTTAAAATAGAACAAATCCTGGGTTTTAAACAAATATTGTTTAGGAGTTCCATTTAATCAAGGTAATTTCACTGTAAAGCAAAAAATCTGATACATTTAACTAAACACATTCATATGACATCAGAAAACTTTATATTTGACTTTAGTAAAATATGTTATCCCATTGTAAATGTCCTGTAAGTACTAGTGCTTCAATAATTGAATTACCAGCATATTAATGACACACCTTATTTTCAAGCAGTTTAAATAATTTCTTCACCAAATAATTGTTGAATGTCCATTATGAGTGACAGTTACTAACATTATCAAAAGAAATACATGTATTATTGTTCCTGGTGAAAGCCAGAATGTAAATATTTTGAGAAAAGTAGTGGGTACTGTAAGCACTTTATTTTTACTTTCTAACTTTTTTTCTATTTCACCATATTAGACAAGTGACTGTGTAATATTATTTGCACATGCTGTTTTTAATATCCTAGCCCAAGTAAAATAAAAATAAATATTTAATTTCCCTGTTCTTAAAACCATGTTCTTGATTCCATTTCTTTCAGTTATTGTTTAAGGGAGAAGAAAAATGGAAATAATCAAAGCATATTTCATTTGTCATTTACAATTACCCTATCATGTTTACAACATCAATAGATATTTTCTGAAAGAACTTTTTCTGAATTTGGACTTACAGCTAATTAGAAGTGACAAGACCATGCATACACACAGGTGCACAAATACAAACTATTAAGTGTATAGAAGGTCAGGGTTGATTTCTTGGAAGGAGCTACTGTGTCTCATTTATGGCAGATTGCTTGGTTTATATAAGCATGTCAGTGCAATAAAGACAATAACTATGGATCCTGGAAAGTAATAAGCTACTTCCTGTCACAGCATTGCTGTCTGTATGGATGATGTTATGATACATTTAAAAGAACTAACCAAGGATCATTAAGAAACATAATAATGGTAGGATTATTTGTGTTGCATTTCTTTAAAAATCTAGAACAAGAAAAAATCCATTATTTATAGAAAAACATTTCTCCCTGAAGAGAAATGATTTCTTAGGATTATAGGCCATGTTTAAAAATTCAGAAATTTTGCAACGTATTTTGAGAGAATTTTCATATTTGGCCTATGCTTCCCTAATAGGCTGTGACAGGCAGCACCAGTAGGTATGGGAATAATAAGTTGAAAATTTTCTTGAAACGGCTCCACCTAGCACCGAGAAGAGTGTGGTCACTCAGCCAGTCCTCAGATCCCTCTGCAGTGGGGGAGATTCCTAACCAGATTCCAGACAGACGCAGCCTGTCACTGTCCATGAGCAGCTGTGCTGGTCGCCCCTGGAAGGAGCTGCACCTTCATTTCAGTGCGATCCTTTCTACGTTTTCAGGAAAAAACAGCAAATTATTTGTGTTGCATTTTCATAAGTTTCCCCCTGCCTATAAAATATAATTGCAAGACACAGAGCACATAAACAAAAATGTTTATCTGTGTTACTTACTGGCACATGTACTATATACTCACTGATAAATACTGACATAAGAGAAAGAGCAACTTAAAAATTAATTGTACACTAAGGTTTTCCATACTTAACGTTTAAATATGGTGAATAATTTTTATGTTTTTATTTGCTGTTTTGCTTTGTTCCACTGATTCCCTATTTTCATCATTTAACTGCTTTTCCTATTTTTTGTTTTGGTGTTTTCTTCTTTGTTATTTTGCATGATGCTGGAATAAATTTCAAATACGTATGTGAAAATCCAACAGTATTTCCATAATATAGAGTCCGAGAATTCACTACGGTATTCAGTATACACGTGCTTAGTGACTGGAATTGACAGTGTCCATTCCTCCCACAAGCAGAGTTTGGAAGTCTGTGTTTGCTGTATCTCCGCCAATGCTAGTTCAATCCAGTACTACTTGTTTAATTAGATGTGAAATACCTCAAGAAAGAGGCTCAGTAATGTATTGAAGATACATTTCTTCTTATGAATGTGAATAATGTAGGCGAGTTCTGCTGTCTCTGCAGCCTGTGGTCACAGACACCTTCTCTGACAGCACATTCCTTCAGAGCAGCAGGACAAAACCCACTCCAGCACATGAAATGGCAAGTGGCCTGCACAGAACTTGTCACACATCTCTAAAATTAAGCTAACAATCAGCTAATCACTCAACTCTCTAATCCTCTTGTGTTCATGTGAGAGCTTTGCTGCACATTACATGAGATTCTAGGAAAAAGCAGCAATATTGCAAAATTGGAGTCTGAAAGTTGGATTGTCTTGGCAACAGCTAAGCAATGTTTATAGAAAGAATAACAGGATCAATATTATTTGGGTTCTTTTTCTTTCCTTCGAAGAGGTAGCAGGAAACCATAGCTCTGGAAAGTAGGTACACAGACAAGCCAAAAATTTTCAGGTGATTCATACAGTGATAGAGAAAATGTTAACATTTAATTCTGGTCTTCCCTTTGATAATTCCTTTACTGACCTTGAGTGGCACCCTCCTTGGTGGTACATGGGAAGCTCCATAGTTTATTGAGCCGTAAGAATCAACCCGGAGTAGGGCTCAGACGCATTAGCTCCTTCAGTCAGTCTCTGCACCCGTTTCCTTACTGTGAAACTGCTGTGTGCTGACAGACAGACGAGGAATTATAATAAGGTCACCCCAAAGTGGAAACCATCCTTAGAACGGAATCACTACGTTTTATGGTTTTCATTGTTTGATTGCCTTGAATTTGAAATCCAGTGCTAAGTCTGGCAGGTCATGGTGATGAATCAAACAGGTTATTTAAAGTTCTGAACTTGAGATTGGATGAGTTAAACCCTGAAATGTATAAGTGGGCCCCCCAGAACTCCTTTAAAAGATCTTATGACTAATTAGCAGGCAGAGTAGCCATCTATATTTCAGCACACTGCTGGGAGCAGGACGCATCTGAGCTCAGGAGGCCCTGGTGGAGGCCAGGGGAGTAGAAATCCGGGCCTGGGCAGTGACACACAGGGCAGAGCACAGACCCGTGAGGCTAAGCGCGTCTCTCAACAGAACAGGACATGTGGCGTTGTTTCCTACACCCTGCCAGAGGCGGCACAAACGGAGTACTTAACATCTCACTATTACAGGAACCCTTTTGATTACACAGTTCGGGGCGTCAGATGCCAGCTCCCTCCTTTCAGGAGTTGCTGTGCAACCTGCTGGGTAGAGAAGTTCCCCGCACATGGGCAGAGGACACCAGTTCGTCAGGGGCTCCGCGGGACAAGTGGTAGACGGAGGGAACACTGTTAGCGGGAAGGTGCCGGGGATCCCTTCCCTCTTCCCTCCGCGGTGGTGGCGCACAGTTCTGTTGTGTCCATGGCAACGTTCATTGCTACCCTGCCCGCGCCGGCCTGCAGCACCCCTCAGGGCACACTCGGAGCCCGTAGTATCCAGGATTACGAACGTCCTTACAGTTTGCGCTGCCATCAGCACAGAGACGATTTCCTGATTGGCCGTAAAGCGGTGGTGAAGTCCAAATGTTTCTTTTTGGTCAGCTTTGGCGCAGGTGTCCAGCTTGGTCAGAGGCGCAGCATAAGCTGCTTGTGTATCTGTGCCTGGTTTCGGATTCCCCGTCTTCCTGCTGGTGTCTCTACTCTGGGAAGGAGCAGTTCAAAGTTTTTCATTTTGCTTTGCTCTGGTCTTATTAATCAAACTAAGCGGTTCTTGTGGACATGTGTTTATTCTGTGGAAGAAAACCCACTGCTGACGGGTTCCCTGCAGCCACTAGCTGACACCGGAGAGAAATTATTCTAGAGCAGCCGCAGTGGTTAAGCAGCAGAGCTGCGGGTGGAGTGCAAGAGGCAGCCGCTGAGTAGGTCAATAAGAGGGACGAGTGGGGGCTGTGCAAAGAGCTGTTCTGGTCACCTAGGCAAAGGCCTACTAACCACCGTTCCCTGAGTGAGAAAGAACTGAGTGAGACTGTTTAAAGGAAGCGAGGGCTTTGTGGTGTTTATCTGTGGGGAATTAGAGCTCTGTGGTCGGGGGTGTGTGTGGCTCCTCCTGTTTCCTGCCTGTCCTCCTCCCTGCCCTTCTCTGGCCTGACAGCCCTGGAGCACAGGAAGGAGCAATGCCCCTCTGGGTGCTGCTGGGTTTGGGCCCCGGCAGACTCACTAGGGGCTGTAGACTTGCAGACAGTGGGTGTCAGGGACGGAGTGCTGGGTTCCCCCAGCTCCTCACTTCAAACTGACCCCCTCCCCTGTGTTTCCTCCACATTTCATACCCTTGGTCCTGAGGCCACTTAGCAACCCCTCCCACCTGCACAAGGGGACCCTGAGCCTCTGCACAGGAGCGGAGCTCCTCCCGCTGCCCCCTAGCGCCCCTCCATGCCACGCCCATTGTTCCCAACGCTCAGCTGACTGGGCTCCCTCCTGGGGTGCCGGGAACACCCACCAGGACGGGCACACCCACTGTGTGCACTTTGGGCCCCACTGCATGGTGAGATTTTTGTCTTGGGATGGAAAAGCGAATTTGTAGAAGCAGGGTGGGGAGTCTGCTCTCTCTTTCCCCCTGTCCCCCTGTCGGTGTCACTGCGCTCACCTGAGTGTTCGGAGAGGCCGCCCTTGCCCGTTTGCTCTCCTCTCTCTGAGCTGGGAGTGGTGGTGCATGCACGTGACCCGTCGCCCTGGAAGGCCGAGGTAGCAGGTCACAAGTTCAAGCCGGGAGCTCTAGGCAACTTAGTGAGACCCTGTGTCAAATGTAAATATTGAAATAAATGAATGAATAAATAGGCTGGAGATGCAGCTCTGTGAGAAGTCCTCTGTACCAAAAGCAACCACCTTTTTAAAAAAGTGACATCTGTCTACTTTTATGTAACCACCTAACATTTGTGTCATCATTCCTAGGCATGCTGTCCCCAGCACGGTGGGGGTCACACACCAGCGAAGACACTTCTAGACAGGAGTAGCTTCTTGAAATTCCCTGTCAAATTCGATGTGAAAAATAGCTGCAAGAAAATATAGGTATCTTGTGGGTGTAAATGTGCACACATATGTGTGTGATATATGTGAATATGTGTGTGTAAATGCCTGGGAGTTCAAGAAGTGGGAATTTTATATAATTTATGCATAATCTTTTATATCTCCTTTTCAGGAGTACGTACATACAGTGTACTATCTATAATTTATGTGCCTTATATATGTAAATATAATTCTCGTCCACTGAGTACGTCCTAAGGACCAGTCGTCCCTCTGTGTTCAAACTGCTCTTTTCTCTTTTTTTCCTCGTTTTCTTTCTTTCTCTAACTGCAAGCTTTCTAGCCATGGTGATGTAGATGCAGTTACAGTTTTCCCAGGTCCAATAACTGGTACAAGGAAAAACAAGACTCCAGTTTTCAGCCAAGGATCCTAAACAGCGTGGGTTGTGGGGTCCCCATGTGGACAGAGGGGTGAGTAAGCCCAGAGAAGGATTCCGGCACTGGAGCGGCTACCCCAGGAGGCCAGCAAGAGGGAGACAGCAGTGCCCTCTCTCTTTCCACAACCCCCAGCTCCGGCCAGAGCAGCTTTATTCTTACGTTTATATGTTCATTTACTTCTACAATTGTACTTCTAAGTAAAGAGGAGGCACTGGTTTTGATGCCCTCAAAATGTTGAGTTAAAAAATAATACATGAATCTTTCCTGGATGTGTGATCAAATATAACAAGTATCCCAACATTGGCCCTGGGTTTTTTTTCCTCATTTTTCCCTGTAATTTCAAGCCCCAGCCCCACTGTGTACAGTGCATTGGCATCAGAGAGCATGGGTGATGCCCAGCCTTGTGATCACACGGCCCCGTGTGAGAGGGGCACGCTGACCCATGCACGCTGAGCACATGGACACAGTGAGAATGGCGGCGTCCCGCCCGCACAGCAAGTGCTCTGCCTGGAAATGCCTTGTCCCTCAGCCACGGGTAACGCTTGCTCAGATCTGAGAGATGGCGTTGGCAGCATGTTGTAGTGCTTTTTGTTGGGCAAATGACTCAACCAACAAGGCACCCCTGGGGCGGGGCACCCTTCTGGCTGAGGCACACGTCCTGTCCTTTCCCACACTGAGGGTGCTGAGTGGGCTCCGGGAGAGACTCGTGTCCAGGAGATGTTGGTACTGCTGACACTTGGAGAATAAACACATTCACAAAGGACGTTCTGGAATAGCCTTGGTGGAGAAGAGGGAAGGCTTTCTTGACAATGGGCTTTCTTCCCTATGAGGATGCAAGCCAGTCAGACTTAACACATGCAGGGAGCGCTCATTGCTTATTTAGCATGGAAGACAACCCTTGGTGAGAGCTGAGTCTCACGCAACTTGCTATGTTCATTTTGCTGTGGAATTGCTCTTGGCATCTATTGACAAGGACCATTATGGGCTGGGAAGGGAGAGAAACATGAAAGATGAGTTACACAGGTAAGGCAGACCATGGCAGCATAACAGCTCTCACCAACCACACAGGTGGGGCCGCTGGTATTTGCTGCGCTCCCTTCTGCTTCACAGATTTCAGTTTTCTTTCTTTAATTCTCGCTGTGAGTCCGCAGTGCATCTATTTCAGCAACTTCCCCCTGTCCTGTCCTTCCGCCAGGGCCCAGGTGGGGGGCGGGGGTTGGAGCCTCTGGAATCTGAGGTTACAAGGAGCCCAGGAAGGGGACGCATCTGCAGCTCTGTCTCCAGGGGGAAGATCCAAGGTCTCCATCCATGGACAGGGAGGAGAGGGAGGAACAAGGCAGCAGCTCCAGCTCTGAGAGGCAACGCAGAAGGGTGGGACAGCAGAGGATCTGAGCAAGAAGAGGGCAGCACAGAGTAGAAACTCAAGTTCTAAGCAGGAAGAGGAGAAATAGGGTTTAAAGTGTTAGGAAAATGAAAGCACTCAAGATTATATTCCACTTCTACCTGAAAGTCTCCACTGCTAGTCCTCCTTATCGTAGTGCAGCAGTCTTCCTTCCTCTGATGCCTCGATCGTTCTGCACAAAACTGCCATGCAGATGTTAGAGTGATTGCCAGTCCATTCTGTAGGAATCACCCTCCACTCTTTGAGAATAAATGCAGAACCTGAATTACGTTTTTCTTCTGTAGTGCTTAGCATTGAACCCAAGGTTTTCACTCTGAGCTACATCTCACACCCTATTTTCTTTTCTTTTTATTTTCACATAGCATTTTACTAAACTGCTCAATTGTCTAAGCTATCCTCCCTCCTCATGTCCCAGGATGTTGGAATTACGGGCACACACCACTGCACCTGGCTCAAGTTATGTCTTGGTCATTAAATATAACTTCTTAATTTAACTCATTGGCATTTAATTCAAACTGAAAAGACAGTATACGTCGGGTATGGTGTATGTAACGTGGTACTGCCTAAATTAGCATCCGTATAAACTTGATGAAGATGGAAAATAAACAATCTCTTTAGATTAAGTCCCAGAACTCCAATCAGATTGTGTGAATGTGGGCATCCTGCCAGCACCCGAGTTGCTGTGCACCGGATACCGAGAAACACGGCCCAAAGTGTTTGCCTGTTGTGAGGCTAGTTACAAAAATAATGAATATGAGTCGTGTGTGCCAAAACTGTAACCAGGGATACAGAAGAAACATTGGCAACCAGTTACAGCTGATAAAACACCAAACCAATCATGGCCCCTAGAAACAACTCACAAATGACAGAAATGCGGGGAAAAAAAACAAAATTGTTTCCAATACCCAAGACTTGGACATCTGTGAACTTCGGAGAGTGACGGGTAGACAGAGCATTCTTGGCTCTTTCTCCGTCCCTCCCTGTGTAAGGCTCCTTGTGTTGGTCTGTATCTGTGCAATACCCATTGCTGTGGCAGGGAGTTTCCTCAGCCTCTCAGCTGGCAGACTGGCATTGTGTGCATCCAGACTGGTGCCACTGGACTGAGATAATACGAGCAAAATAAATGTCCCGCCTCCTCTTCCAGTGCTGCCGCAAACCCCACGTCAACGTGGTGATCCATGTATGTAACAC